ATACTAAGTGCCCAACTTTTCAAAGCGCTGTTTGGCCCAAAGGGTTCCTTGAACACTACCCATGTGTTTGCGTTGGGTTACTACGGCCTTGAGTCAACGCTTTGTATGGCTCCCAAGACTGTTTCTACTTTCCCAAGTAGTATCTATGTCACATCTAAAGATTATTTTTTTTTAAGCAATAAGAGCCATTTGTCTCACTGTTCCACTTTAGTGCAATTTCTCGTTCTAAAGGTTAGTGTCAGAGTTCTACTTTTTGGTACTTAGGCAACAAATTTTATTATGCTGCAGTCAACAGAAGTGGCTCAATTATTGCCAGCTTTTGAGTCAGTTCTTGCACATTACTTAATACTAAGTCAAGAATATCTTTCTGTGTACTCTAGTACTAGCTGTTCCAAGAGGCAGAAATTGCTTCTTTGAACTTACTCTCATTGTGCTATCTGACCAGTTTATTCACAGGTAATTTAAGTCCCCATTATCATTTGGTTAGACTTTCCCACTTCTTTGATCTCTGTCAACATTATGCACTCAACATCCTTTTGTTGATCCAGGAGCTAGTAGTATAGGAGACTACTAATATATTTACTTTCGTATGGGTTGGGAGTGTAACCCTCTGCAAGCAGTTAAGTAGGTGATTAAAATTCTCCAATAGCACTACGCATTGCAACACTGCAAACACTCTCCACTTCCAGGATGATCATGCCGGGTTCATTGCAGCAATTTCAAGGGTTAATTATCGCTGCTGTTTTGAACAATGCACCACGTTGCTTTTCTGAATATATCGATGTTTGATTTCCAGCTTCTGGGTTGTACAAAACAGCTAAAAACCTGTCATTTGGGATCCTCCTCTACTTCTCACTTATTCCACCCTGAAGATTAACTTTGAAAATAATGTCTTTAAAATAACATATTTTGGTGGGGGGGAAAGGAAAGAGGATAATCCTTGCTTTTGGGGTTCACAGCCTTTCAGGAGCTTGCTCTGTGTAAAGTTTTTCCCTGCAGTCATGAGTTAAAACAATGTGCTCAGTGGGTAAATGAAAGGAAAAATACAATCACCTAACTATGTAACTGCTGAGATTGTAAGGAAATGAAACAAAGCATTGTGAGACTTGCGATAAAATAATGCATGTTGGGAAAACTGATTATATCCTTTCGCCTGCTAAATAAGATGACTGTTCCCCCGGTCTACATAGCTACATGTATCTTTTATATGCAGGTACATAGGGTGATTGGCGATTGCTTTGCCTTCTCTATAGAAGATACAGTAGTCTGAGTGTATCTATCTCTTTTTAAATGTAATTGTTTGGGACTTTTCCCAAACTTGTAACATTATTTCCAAAATACTAGTCCCAGAACTAGAGAATGTAATGATCCCAGCCACAAGATACATACTAACAGTATCATCATTTCCCTTGTACACAAGCCTAGGTTTATACACACTCAAAATTACACTAAGATTCAATAAGCCTGTGCATATACTTTAGTAAAAAAACCCAACCTTAAGTGCTGAACTGTTTCTCAGATAAAAGTTTCTTTCTTCCACAGTTAGATTTGCATGTGAATTCTGTTGTAATTCAGTTTGGAAAGATCTTACATCTCCTTCTCCCAAGTCCCTACAGTGGTGCTCTCCTTTTCTTTCCAAGACATTTCTTATTTTCCTATCTATCTTCAAACCAGCATTGTCAACACTCTCCACTATCAAGCGGAGACTGAGGCACGGTAAGAAGGAAATCTAGATCCGTTCCTAAGAAATCAGCTAAGAGAACAGCCAAGATACCAAAAGAGGCTGTAAAGATTGCATTAGCAGTCCCATGAAAGGGAGTTGATCTGCAAACAGCTATTGGAACTGCAGTCCGGAGGGCATGTTGAACCCTAACAGCCAGATCCAAAGATCAGTAAGATCCAAATATATTCTTTCCAACTACTCTTCTAAAAGGCTTGGCTCTTCCATCTTTAATACAAGGCCATTTTCTGACTTGCCCGGGACTTTTTAAAGTAGTCCCGGCTACTGCAGTAAGCTCAGCAGAGATCTAAACTTCCAGCCATTTGGAAACCGCAAACCAGTTCACAGTACGACTTCTCCCGTGTTAAGCAACAGTTAATGCTCTAAGCATGTGCGATCTGAACAAACTGGAGCTCTGAACGAGCTTGAAGATGATTTCTGTAAGAAGTCTAAGGTGTTGGTTTTTTGACCTATAAAGTGGCTGTGCCTACTTGAGAAATTCCCCTCCCTTTGAATCATCCTGCACGGTACGGAGCACCAGAGGTAAGACTGCCTGGGTTAAATGGAAGGGGCAGAGGGCTGCAGGTCCTGGGCAGCTGCTGCTCAGCGACCTGCAAAACTGAAAATCCAGAGATTTCCCAGAAGAACCGACCACAGGGTAGGGGATAAGGAGGAATTCGACATTGGGTTTATTTTATTACAGGTAAAAAAGGTATTTGCAGTGTTAGCTTCTTAGAACATAACACATTAGGATCAAAGTCCGTTTCTGTAGATGATCCCAGAGAGCACGGCATGGAGAAATGAAATCAAGAAAATGTTCTGGTAGAAGTACATTTGCTGAGGCTCCATCACTTTCTAGATTAAGAATGTGTTTCTAAAACAAATCTTGACCAGAACGCTATGAAGACAATTACAAGTTAAAGAGAACTTCACTTGAACCCAGAGCTAACTCTGCACCACTGATCCTTAAGCAACCTCATTACACCACTGAACCAAGGGAGCATGGATTTGAAAACAGGACTGGGCCCCCCACTCTTCTTTTCCAAGCTAAGCTCTGCTGTTTGTGTCCTCCTGCGATGGGTGGGAGGTCCGACTGCACCTTACAGGGGCTGACACAACCAAGAAGAGCTCTCCCAAATGGTGCAAAACCGAGCCTTCTTAACCCATTGACTGTAACATCATGTTATGTACCTAAATTACATACAAAGAACCAATTGTGCAGGTAAGGCTTAAGTTTATTTAAACAACAGCTCCAATGACATCAAAGTTAAGCACGTGAGCCAACGTTTTTGCAGGATTGGGATGCTGACAACCACGTGTAAAATGAGATGTCCCAATAGAGCCTAATTCAGGAGAATATAATATCCAACCACCTAAACGTGAACTAAAAATAGGTTCTCCCTTTAATTTCTTACTTATTTTTCACCTTAACCGTCACAGTTCCATTTCTCATTTTGCCTTTCCAGAGGCGGGAACCCACTGCAGGATCAGAACCCAAACAGCTTTAAATAGTATTTATATTCTCATTTGTTTCGATACGTAGTGGCAAAATTAGAAACTACACCACAGGATATACCCGGGAGGTCACAGGTACAGTCGACTAAGCTTTCCCAGAGCACGGTGCCTGGCACCGGGCAAACATCCTGCTGCAGGAGGCACAGCCTGACCCCCAGATGCAACCCCGGCGGCTGAAACCAGACCTGGATGATTTTTCGCGCTGGATTCAGCGGGTACGGAACAGGAACGCTCACCTGCGCGCACCCAGGGGCGGAATCCAGGCCTAAAATCACACACGGCGCAGGTCAGGATCCACGTACGCAAAGCCGACAGGTTAGATCGGCGTCTCCCCAGCCCTCTGCATTTTGAGGACAATTTTTAAAGGATGAAATGGGCCGCTCTTCGCGGCTCAGCGTTCAGAACGTCCCGTCCACGCTGCCGCCAGGGCAGGCAGCACCCAAATCCCACCTTGTCTCACCACGCTCGGTTCAAAACAGCCACACACACCGCACACCAGAGGTTATCGTCTGCCCGTTTCGAAAAGGGGCCACACGCTATACTTTGTGCTCCATTGCAACACCACTGTAGTTTTTGTAAGGAATAAATATTGACTTTCCTGGACATTGCCTCACAACAGAACAGGACCTTGAGTACATTTGTCTAAGATATTTTTTTAGCCTGGTAATATAATTTCATAGCGTAGCTTTCGCTCTGAGTAGTACAAAAGGTGTGGAAAAACAGGCTTTATAAATGCCACAAGTTGCCCATTTTCATTCTCAGACAGGTGACCATGTTCTAAAACTGGCTCAACTGTAGTCCTTTTTTATACAAAATTTTTATACAATTGCCAAGCTAAAAATTTAATTAAGATTACACTATACCACATTTAGAATATCAAGACTAGAAAAGGCCAAGCAAAAATTAAGATTTAATATTAATGCAGGCTATTTTGTAATTTTGTTTGTTTTCAAGAATAAAGCACAGGACTGCCAAGCAAATTAGCAACAGAAACACCAGAGTACACATCAGGTCTCAAAAAAATGAGCTCAAAACTTTGTGTATGCAGGAGATGGGTCTGTTCACTGAATATCTCAGCTCTGTCTCTTAGCAGCATTTGCACCTCATGGCAAGATATTTTGATGCTTTCTCCTTAGTAAAGGTCAGAAACTGGCATTAATTTCATTTACAAAAATACACAGTGGTGACACCACAGGAACCACTAGTATGAGTAAAATCCAGCTTTCAGGCAATACACAACAACCAGTGGGGTCAGTAATTCTGGTGGGCAAAGTCTGGATGTGTATTTTAGCTGTAACAGAAGCCAGCTATCAGCAGAATCCTGTCAGAAATCTTGCAGATTTCACAAAAAAATAAAATAAACATGTCTCCTGTCAGATGTTTAGTGTCCCAACATGTGACTTGACACACTCAGCTTTATAACATCAATAAAGATATGCAATCATCTTCATGGGAACAACTGACCACATCTCAAATTCAACATTAATATGAGCACAGCTAGACTGCGACCGAATGGACAATCAATCATTTGCACAACCCTTCTGCCTCCAAACACCGTGCAGGGCTGGGGCGGGGGACAGGAACACAAAGGAACAAAACACACAGGTGGACAGCTCACATAAAAAATGCCTCATTTTGTCAGTTATAAGTCTGCAGCCAATAAATAGTCAAATGCATTGCACTGGGAGCTGAAGCAGCAAGGAGAGAAAAGGAGGGAGAGGACAGGAGCGGGAGGTGGGCTGGATAAAACCCAGCTGGCTCTTACCTGCAGCAGTTTTCCTTCGGCCGGAGTCACTTCAGCAACGTTCGCAAACTCCCCTTCCAGTATGATGGGCTCCACTTTCAGGGGGATCACCCTGATGATGGCCTTCTGTGTCGCTGACCTCTCCGACTCGACGGCGGCCGCCAGCACCAGCCCTGTCTGGCCCAGTCCTGCCTGCAGGGTCGCCATGAGCAGCCAAGGCCAGAGGACAGCCAGCTGCAGCTGGGGGCCAGCACTCATGCTACCAGCTGCAGCAGCGGGCTCCGGCCACACATACCGCTCCGGAACGCGTCCTCGCCCTGCGGCACGCTCCAGCCGTCGGCAAAGCTCGTCGCGTTTCCCAACGTGAGGTCCCAGCCACGGGGAGGTGGGGGAGAAAGCGAGAGAGGGGCTCAGTCACCGCCAGCGCTGCTCACCAGACGACTCCTCTGGTTCTCCCCAGCATCTTTTCTCTTCCCCGGTGCCACGTGCTCAAAGGCCGCTGGGAGCTCAAAGGCATATTTTAAACAAACAAACTAAAGGAAAGTATCCCAACTTACGAGTCCCTCTTCCAGCAGATAAATCCGGAAAGATCAGCGAAACAGGTTGCAAGCGAGAACTGAGTTTAGATGTAGAGGCACACCACGGAGCACGAGGAACTCCTCAGTCCCACAGAGATGAGGCACAGGGAGATCTCCCCATGGACGTGGTGTCCTCGTGTCTCCTGCCCGAGAGTTAGGAAGATCCGCAGGTTCAAAACATCCATCTCAAACACCCTTGAGAGACACCTCGCCTTCTTGCCAGCACTTCCCACAGCACAAGCTCAAGCTCTTCACCTTATCTGCAATTATCGGTATCCTTCTCGGAAATTATGCAGGAGGTATTTCTTGAATTTATGGTGAAAAGAGAGTTTGCTTCAGTACCACTCTCCTTGAAATGGAGGTGCTCCCTTCCATCCTTCTCGTGCCAGAAGTGTTTCAATTCAAGTTTGGAGATCAACTTTACTTTTCACCCAGCAATCCACGTTCAGAGTCTGACTCCAGGTGCACTTCTTTAGGATAATTAATAAAGCACAGAGCTTCTTTTCATAGTTTCAAGTTCCCAGGAAATAAAAAGGCCCCAAAACACTTTAAAAGTTTCAATACCAAGCCAAACAGGTATCAAGCGAAAAGTTACAGCATATCTGGTTTCTCTCACACTATTTCTGTGCACGCCCGAGTTCCGGTATGACCACTTCCAAGCACACATTAAGAAGATCCTGACTAAAGGCCCCACAAAATAAAATATAATGTTCCACGGTCTGCCCAAAGGTCACATGAAACGTATGGAGGAGTCTTCATAACTGGGAGAATTTAGACAGAGGACATTGTCAGTTAAAACCAAAGTTACAGTGATCATACAGCTCCGAAGAGAAAAAGTGATTTAGAGAAAAAAAATAAATCTGCAAACCTGTTAGGCAGTGTGCCTGCTGGAGTCCACAGGGGCCGGGACGGATGGAAATGTTGCTGTAAATCCTAAGCAAAAGTTATTTCCAGCAGCTTAAGAAAGCTGCGTGGGTCTGATGATGTTTGGTCTTGCTTTTTTGAAAAAAAAAAAAAAAGAAAAGAAAAAAAACACACCAAGAAAAACCGGTATTTATAATTCAAAAAAATTTTTAAAAAGAGAAAGAAATCTCTCTCGCACATACGCAGCAGGCAGGTAGGTGCGAGTAGAGCTCCACAGCCCAAAAGAGAATCCAGCAAGATCAAAGGGAGAAAATTACTGCAGCCAGAAAGCTCCCGGGGCAGGCATGGCTGAAAGTGAAGTGTCCGCATGTAATCTACCGACCTGCGAAAGAACCCAAAAACCCTTCGGAAAAACTCCTTTAAAAGACCAAAGCCTCGCTCCTCGCTCCAGCAAACGCCACGAAGGGCTCTAAAGGCAGCGAGCACG